AGCTCCAGGCGTCAACGGAGCCTGGCAGCAATAGTGGTCTGCACAGAGCAACTTCAAGTCCGCTATGGCAACGTCGAACTTGATGATGCGTTGAAGGGGAGCTTTATGCGGCTCCAATGCCTCGAGCTGAATCTCCGCCCGGAGCCGCAGTTGGTGCAGTTGGCAGACGACCTCGAGGAGAGCCTGCCGACCCAACGAGTCACTCTGGCAGTGCCGGATGAAGCCCGGGTGCTGGGCTTCCGATATTGGGAAGTCGGCGGCCCAGGACCTCTCAGTACCCATGCAGACTGCCGGGAGGACCTAGAAACCAGAAATAGAACCTTTAATTTGCGACCCTCTACCACTAAAATTCTTCAAAGGAACGCGCCATCAAGGGATCTACTTTCCAGATCCTCTCAGGGGTAGGGGTAGAGATCCATTTGCAGCTTCTTGCATGGCAGAGAACGGCGCTGAAGCCGCGGCCTGTCGTGGTGCTGAGGCCACGGATGACACGACCGGTCTGGGAGATCTTCGGGATCCCCACGTCTTGCTCGATATCCACGGCCAGCTCCACCTCGAGCCACTTTCGCGGCGATATCTTCGGTCCGAGTCGACCAAGTTCCCAGGACGACCGCAGTGGATGCCCCCTGCCTTGAAGAGTTTGGAGGAGGACGGCGAGAGCGTCGATATCTCCATGCTCCCTGAGGCGCGGACCAGTCCGCTGAGCGCATGTAGCTTGCAGTGGCAGCTTTCCGCCGGTCTTGGCAGGTCCAGGGACTACGGATCGTCCGAGGTACGGTAGACCACATCATAGAGTGCGAGTATGCACAGAGCTGGAACTGCAGCCCCGCCGCCGTGAGAAGCCTCACTGGGCAGTCTGCGATGTTCTGGTTTGATCTTTTCCTGCTGACGGCGGTGCCCTCCTCAGCCTGAGTGCTCCGTTCTTCTAGAGTGGAAGGGACATTTATGTGGGTTGGAGAAAAAAGAGAGCAAATGAGTCAGATACTGGTAATTGTCAAGCCCACATTCAATCGAGAACACATGTGTCGAGCATGTTGCAGTGAGAAGTGTCGATGGCGAATGGCCAGAGGCGCTCTACTATCTGGACATTGCGCTGGATTTCAAGCAACTTCGTTTATTCTGGCAGAAGGGCCTTTTTGGCTACCTCGTGCTCAACGTCGCAGGGATGGCACTCCCTCCCGTGTTCACAGCACTGGAGGCGATCCATTTCCTCGATCGGCCCTCGCCAGAGCAGGATCAGCTCAAGAAGATGCTCGCGCCGAAGATGCTGGTGCCAGCCATGCTGCTGGCCATCCTGTCACAAACGCACGTGCTCCTCCTCGCCGCAGCCTCTGCGTTGTCAAGAAGGACCCCTGGGCTGAAGGGAACCCTTGTGATTCTTGCAGGCATCTTGCAGGCATCTGCAGCTGCAGTCGCAAAGCCCGTCCCTGCCTCAGGCGGCATCCTCTGCTTGCAGGAGCCAAGCATGCAGAGGCAGGCCCCTTTGCAGTCTGCTTGCGGCTAATTATTCAGAGCTTTGCCCAGGTTGCGGAAGCTGCAGTGTCTGCCCTCGTGCAGACCAACTTCCTGGTTTCTGCCCTGGGCCAAATTACGCAGATCGAGGAGCTCGAGCTTTCCGGCGCCCAGCTAGACAGCATGAAGCTGTCGGTCCTCGTGTCATGCTTCAGCCTTGGCCTGGGCTTCGCGAGCCGAGACAAGGCCGACTCGGCCGTTCTGCACCTTCCAGGAAAAGTCGGCTGGGGCCCGACCATGGTTGGACTGGTGCTGGCGAGGTCGCTCGAGGTCTTCAGCCGCATTCTGGCCTATAACATTCTGCAAGCATCCCTGCGGGGCTATCCGCTGCTGCAACTCGCTGGCCTTGAAGCAGTTGGACTCGCTTTCCTCGCAGCATGCTTGGCCTTCCCCGACGCCTCCTGGGCCGACGCGGCGGCCCCTCGGCTCGGCCCGGCAGCGCGGTCTAAGCTCCCTAAAGAAAACCCAAGAAATCACGCAAGTTGGAGCAAGCCTTATTGCTCCCCGCGAGGCCGCCGTGATCGCCCACCCCGGGCAGATCCTGGAGCCGACTTCCCTGGTGAAGTTGCGGCTTCTCGGCGGTCGACTGCGGGTAGAATTCGAGCTGGGGGAGGGTGGGATGCGGAGAGATGCAGAGGCGCTGCGTCGCGAGACGTTCGGTAGCAGTTTTTCCTGTTGGAATCTGCTGCGAGGTCTTCTTTCATTATCCACGCCGTGCTGGTGGCTGCTGCCGGAGGAGGGCAGTTGCTGCTGCGGACGAGCACGGCACCGCCAGCATGCAAGGCCGCAGCCATTCCTACGGCTGCATGCTGTAGANNACATATGTATATATGTATACAGAGGGTGCTGTGCAGATCTGTGCAGGAGGTTGGTCATAGGAGGTTTGGGTCCTGCACAACCTGCGTGCCGGCCACAGGTCCTGCCGGACATGCTGCTGATGGCGTGGCTCGTGCCGGGCTTGACTTGTCCAAGAGGTCAGGTCGTCTCGTCACGTGCGCCGACGTGCCCTGGCCCCTCACCGAGGTCGTGAGCCTCGTCAGCTGGGCAGCGCTTGGCCTCCTCAGTCGCTCTGAGTGGTTTCGATATCTGTTTGGAATGCGCATGCCCTCGCATGAGCCCACAATGCGGGAAGCCTCAGGCTGGCTCGGCCGCCACGTGGAGCAGCCGCGCTTTGTGGCTTTGGCGTCAGGCGCCCATTGCAGCAAAACCAGCACAGATCGCCAGCTGCTCAGAAGTGTGCCGCCATTGTCAGGAGGAGGCGACGAGCCCGTCATCCCGTATTCATCTTTGTTGGCCACCTTCCCCAGCCCCGACAGCCAGGCGCAGGGGCACGGGTTGCAGATTACAGGGGGACATTCGTGTGCATGCGGAGCTCCCAGGCGCCCAAGGCGG